TTTTATTTTAATGTCATACAAGTTATTTTATTTATTATTTAATATCTATTCATATTTATATGTTCTATTATATATGTATATACTATATATAATATATAAAATTATAAAGTATTTGTGTTTTATTTAATATTTAATATATATTCATATTTATATATTATATTATACATGTATATACTATATATAATATATAAAATTATAAAATATTTTTTTGTTCGCGAACGTTCGATTAGTTCGCGAACATGTTCGTGTTCGTTCGATAACTAAACGAGCATAATTTTATGTTCGTGTTCGGTTCGATTGCTAAACAAACGAGCTGTTATCGAACACGAACGAACTCGAACGAGCTTTGTTCGCGAACGTTCGGTTCGAAAAACAGCCCTATTTGTGGGTGTTAATTAGTTCAACAGCTTATATTTGCCTTAGGTCTGAAAATTTAGTACAGCTCCAACGTGGCTTCAGATGAACAATACAAGACTTCTGCAGACTTTTATCTTCATAATGGAAGTTTATTTTTCCATTCATACAAAACTGTGTCATCAGATATGATTGTGAAGATTTTTCTTTTTTAATTTATTATTATTATTTTTGGGTCGGCAGCAATTGGTTGGATGGATTGGCTTAATCGTGCACAGTTGAGTAGTTTTCTTTTTGACAAATATCAAAGTATTTTGGCTGGATAAGATGAAAGATGTATCATGCTTTGAATTGCTCCAATATTTCACTTTAATTTTATGACTCATGCATAGAATATGGAAGTGTTAAATAAGTAATTTTGTACGCACTGTTTGAAAGACTTGACGATGCATGTGCAGGTGACTGCAATGTGGGGTACTCTAATTATTTCCCAATCTTGAAATTAAACAATTATTTTCCAATCTTGAAATTGAACAAAAGTTTTTAATATTTTTAATCTTCTTGGATTCTCAGAATGCCAGCAGTTGACTTCCAGAAGAGAACATAAAAAATACTATAAAAGTGTATAATTAATTAATTTCCTAATGACAATAAGTGGTATGGGTATGGCCTGCTTTTTAGGCGCCTCATTTGTTAAACCATAGACCTTCTGTTGGACTATCTAATAGCTAGACAATGGTATTTTTTCAATAAATTTGGACTTTCTAATAACTAGACAATCGTATTATTTCAGTAAATGTATATAATGTTATATTAAATATCAGACTTTAGTATAAATATGCACTGAAGTAAGGATTATTAGACAAACTAACAGCAAAAAATTTTGAATCTTGGTAAGCACTTCCATGATCAGGTATTAGTAAGATCCAACATTAGTTAGTGTTAATTATTTAATTTCTTTGTTTGACTTTGTATAAATCTGCTAAACTTTCCAAATTTTTTATTCAACCGGCGGCCAAAATCTTGCGAAGCATTTTTTGAAAACACAACCTCCACAGCTTCTGTATAGTTATTTAATTAGCAGGCATAAGGTATTCTACAATGATGTCACAAAAGAATTTATTATCTATAAATAATATTGAAAAACCAATATAATATAATAGTTATTTGAGATAACATGAATATGATTAAAAAAATCATAGTTTACAAGTCGCTGCTAGGTGCACTATTTATCAGTCGTCTCGTCGTCTGTACTATAATTAAGACCTTTTGGCTTCACATATGATGCCATTATTGACTGGAGCAGTTGCAGAAATTGCTCATAATAATCAGCCTACCCAAAATAATCAGGCATTCCGAAATTAAACAAAAAAAATGGTTCTGTTCTTTTTTTTTTTCGGGATAAGAGAAAATTCCAAGGTAGTTATTGTAATTAACAACTCATAATATATTTAAATAAACCTAAGATGGTATAGGCAAATATTAACACTCATAACTTAATTTAAAACTGAATAAAACTTCTCCATAATAATAACTGATTATTCTTTTGTGCAGTAACATTTGTAACATGAACAATCAACATTACCTTGTATACATTCTCTATGCAACACAGCGTTCCTTGTATAAACAGCCATTACTGAAATTAACTATACTATCAACATCCAATGTATACACGAAACGGGAACTGAANTATTCTATTGTATAATGGCTTCAAAACTCCTGTAATACAAAAGAAAAATAATGTATATATATTCAGTTGTGTAAAGGGTTTGGCCCACCAGGAACTTTTCTAGCCGAAGCTTCGTAATTTTCCGTATGATTTGTTGATGACCCTTTTGGAGTTTGTGCTGGAAATCCATACCAGGAAAACCGCGTCTTTTCATAATTAGTCACACGCAAAATTCGACCGCTCGTGAGGTGGCCGACGGCTAAAATAATCAACATGATCATTAAAAAGTTGATTTTCCGAGAATGGAAATTCATACTTTTTTTGGTGGATGTTTTTCCTAAGAAAGATGATAATGATAAGCACGAATGGAACGGACTAAAAATTGAGCCTATTTACAATACAAGTCATGAAAGTCAATGTATGAGACCTATATGACAAGAATGCCCCCCTTCAGATGGTGTGTTTATGTATTGTGGCTGTTACTGTTGACCATCTTGCATGTTTGACTTTCTTGCTTATGATATTTCACAATATAAATTTATATTTTTATTCAACAACTATGATAAATTCACACAAGAATTTGTATTAGTATGAGTGTTAGATTTGTCATGTGTATAGAAAACGTTGCTTAGCCTTTGTGTGCAAACCTGCAAACTAGAGATTCATGGTAGATTTAATTAAATATTTCAACTAACAGGTTCCTATGCTTATGATGCCTATCTATATATATATAATTGCTAACTAAGCAATAAATTTTACCTAATAAATAAAACCTAATAAATTTTACCTATGTGGCAAATCATTAATAAAACCTAATAAATAGAACCTAATAAATTTTATTTATGTGACATTAATACACATAATCTCATTAATAAGAAAATATTTCATTGTTAATTAAGATAAAAACTATTATATTTTATGTTAATTGACTAATAATTATATTTTTTATTGAATAATATAATAGTTAATATTATTGAGAGAATATCTTGTGATATTCTTATACGATAAATATGGCATTTGTATCTTGTTGATATGATATAGATTAGGTTGTATCAATTAGATGATATGGTAAATCTCGTAGATTAGGTTCTTTGATTTCTTTCATTTCTTTCATCTCCTTTGGCTTGTATAAATACCTTGTAATCTTCATTGAGTTAAATAACAATTCAAGCTCTACATCATTCTCTCTACTTTTACATGGTATCAGAGAAGATTTTTTTGTAAACTCTAATCTAAGCCGCTGCCCCCCCTCTCTCTTTTGTCGGCCATGGCTAACTCCTTGGATGCTAACTCTCCATACTATGTGCATCCATCTGATCACCCCGGTCTTGTTTTTGTCATCCATCCTTTGTCTGACAATGGTGACAATTACTTTACCTGGAAGACATCTTTCCTCAATGCTCTTCGTTCCAAGAACAAATCAGGTTTCATGGACGGCTCCATCTCTCCCGCTGATGCGGATTCTCCCGACTACAATAATTGGGTGCGCTGCAATGCCCTAGTCAAATCCTGGCTCATCAACTCCATTCATCAAAACCTTCAACCTATGGCGGCTCACATCGAATCTGCCGTTGATGTTTGGAACGACTTTGCTGAGCGCTTCACTCAAGGTATCGCCCCTCGTATTTATGAATTAAAGCGCACCATTGCTCTTCTCCAACAAGAAAAGACTTCCACTTCTGTTTATTACGGTAAACTTAAGAATGTTTGGAGTGAATTGCAAAGTCTTCGCCCATCTCCTGTTTGCACTTGTGGTGCTGCTAATAAATTACGGACTCTTCAAGAAGAAGAAAAGGTATTTGATTTCCTCATGGGTCTCGATGACTCATACAAAATTGTCCGCTCTCAGATTCTCAGTGTCGAACCTATGCCCTCCCTTGGTCGCGCCTATGCTGTTGTCGCTCAGGACGAGAAGCAACGCTCTCTTGCTGATAATCGTCATCCTGTTGTTGAGGCCTCCAGTCTTCTTGCCAAAGCCCCTCAACCCGGCCGCGGGGCTACTCGTCGAGATGGTCGTCGCACTGGCCCCAACAAACTTCATTGCACTCATTGTCGGCGCTCCAATCATCTCGTTGAAAATTGTTGGGAGTTGCATGGTTACCCCGCCGGATGGAAGCCCCGCCAGAATGTCACCACCCCCGCTGCTCTCGCCGCTCCTGCCCAATACACCGCGGCTGACTCCGGCACTGCATCTCTCTCCGCGACAACGACGGCCGCCTCCCTGACCCCAGCCCAGCTGCAACAACTCTTTGCCATGCTTGGCACCCAGCCGCCTGCTGGTTCTTCAGCCGCCTCCACTGCACCTCCACCGTCGGCCTCCTCTACTAGTGGTAAGATACTTTGGGCAGCCGATTCTGGCGCCACTGATCACAGTACTCATATGATGCACTCCATAATTAATCCTCGCATACCCTCTCATCCAATTCACATTCAAATCCCAAATGGAGATCATATTCCTGTCCAAGCTAGTGGGAGAATCAAGCTTGGCCCTGACTTATATCTTGAGAATGTTTTGGGAGTTCCACAATTTAAATTTAATCTTATATCTGTCAGCAAATTGACTCGGGATTTGAACTGTTTCTTCACTTTTGGGCCTGATTTTTGCTTCATACAGGACTTACGTTCGAGGAAACTGATTGGAGTGGGTAGAGTACGAGATGGATTATATTATTTGGAAGGTGTGGGAACTGGCGATGGTGGGAAGGTCTTGTTGGCACGCAAAGATAACACAGCTGGTTTATGGCACCATCGACTCGGTCACATGCCCATTGGTCGTCTACCTTTAGTTTCTGGAATTTCTATT